ACATGGAGTTGTTTTGTCTCTAGCGTAAGTCAAAGAGTATATACAGTGTTATCTAACCGAGGCTGACCCCTGCAGAACATTTGCCTGTTGCATTACGGCACAACAGCACATGCAAATAAAACCATCTTGGGCATCCACGTCCGCACCGCATGACTTTCCCAGTGGATGGTGGCGGAAGGCGGCAGTGCAGAGGAAAGGTCACTGATGTCCGAGCCACAGCCTACAGGACTCATTGTAATAAAGACTGCTTTGGGACAAGTCCAAAGAAATTAGTGGGATCCAGCTGGGCAATCCCTGTTAGGTTGCCCATTGACTGTTGGTGTCAGCGAATACCAAGGCCAATCTGCTGTGCAGAGTTTATCACCAAATTTCTTCTGTACCTCAACAGGCAAGTGTGGAACAACAGCACAGGGTGCTTTAACATCACCAAACCACAGAAAACTCCACAGAGCTAAAAGAGATATATTCTGAGGTCCTCTCCTAACCTCTCAATTTCTGTGTAAGGAGTTGTGCTCTCTATTCTACCACCCAGGTGGCCATGGCTTCTGCCTGCACCAGGAGCAGCAAACACAGACAGGGGAAATTCATTTCCCCACAGCAGACATTTCCACACACTAACTGGGACCACATTAAAGCTCCTCCCAGCTCTACTCCTTGAAGCATACTCAGATATCTTTGCTACCAACAGCTCACTGAGACTCAGATGCTCATAGTGAGGAGGCACTTGATTGCTTTATCCAAGGTAGAACAGCTGAATTGGTAAGCTGTCCTCCTGCCCACCTCCCTGCCACATCCTCCACCCTCTCTGGCTTTGAGAAACCCAAACCCAAACAGAAATTCCTGCGCCGGTCGCTGCTCTCAGGCAACTCCAGCTCTAGCACAGCATCCCCAGACTGCGTGGGCAGAGCCCTCTGAGGCTCTGAAAGCAGCTCCCAGCAGGCAGCCAACCTACCCCCTTGCTTTCCCAGCTCCTCCAGCTAACTCCAGCTGAGCCAAACAGCCCCTTCTGGGCAGAAGTCCTAGGGCTTCACCCCCCCTGTCCTCTCTCCTGGGAAAGGAGCAGAGTCTCCTCCAGGGTTGAAGGATGCACCACTCTGTTCTTCTCCATGCCCCCCCCTCCCCATGCACACTCCCTGCCCTCCTTTCCTTTCACATCCCGAAATCCCAGCTACAGTGATTCCCACATCACATCAACTGTGGAACAGCAACATCCGGGGTCCCAAGAATGACCCATGTCTCTTGAGGACAGCTGGGCTGGCGTGCTGGTATGGAGACAAAATCCCACTGAAAGCTGATGATGTTGAACTGGACTCTGGTTAGATTTATAACTGGACCCTGACCAGATTTATAGCTGCCCTGCAGGGAAGTCTACAGTGCTGGCAATTCCTCCTCACAGGTCCAAAGGGCTGTACAACCGGTGTAATGCCCGGCGTGGTCACCCAATGCACAGACACCACCAGGCGCTTCCACTGGGAGCAAACCTGATCTCTGCTAATGGCCAAACTGTGCAAAGCTCTGCGGACAAGGTTGATCCTGGCACTGCACAGGGATTGCCCCACTGCCCTGCAGCTAAAGAGGAAGTATAGCTGGAAACTCATACAATAGGGAGCCCCTAGTTAAACACTGTTTTGTTTTGTTTGTTTGTTTTTCAAATAAAACCCACCAGGACTATTTGCCTCACTAACATACACAGGCAGAGGTCTCTCCATTTAGCCTTGCTGCACAGTGCATAACAAAAGTGAAGCCTTCAGGGGCTCTGATCCCCAGGCTGAGGGCTAGGCAGTGGATTTTCAAAGGATTTCAAATTTTAGCAAAGGATTTTCCAAACATACCTTTGGAGGGGGGAGGTCCGGCAGGCTTTTCTGAGGAGGGGATGAATGCAGTCCTGAGTCTCCATTGGTCAAAGAGTTTCTCCGATCCGGTGCTGCAAGCCAGAAACACAATTATATCGATGGGATGTGGCACTTCCCAGCAGAAATGCACAGGAACAGCGAGGTGCTATTTCGGTAGGAAGCGGAGTGACAATTACAGGCAGCGCCGCAGGGTCACCATGTCATTTCAGGCCATGCCCAGGAATGTGGCACTTGGAGACCCAGCAAAAGAACTGGCCTCTGGTTTTAGAGCATATTTTTCCTTCTGGAGTAAAAACTGTGAAGCCCAGACCTCTTGCTAAAAGTTTAAAGGGTCTTGAGAAGCAGCAGGGGCAGACACTACACAGTATTTGGAAATCGATAGCACTTTAGTCCTTGCTACCTCTGATCCCTGCTGCTGAGAGCAGACAGGTCAGGGTTTTCCAGAAAACTGGAGCTAATACCACTGTGCTCCCAGGGCCAGCTGCAAAGGTTGCTGCCTAGCTGGGCTGCACTATGGCTTATTAAAGCCAGACAGGAACAGTGATTTAATCACTACCAAAAGAATAGTTTCTCTTGAAGCAGCCCAGGCTGCAAAAGGGCATATGGCAGCGGAACTGCTCTGGGCAATTCGCGTCTGTCTCTGGAAAGCCAGATTTTCCAAGCAGCTGAATGCGGAGTGATTCAGTAGCTGGAGGGTATGTTGAAGGCTCAGAAAACTTGTGTTCAGTCTCTCTTGCCCCAGCACACAACTTCTGGGTGGCCTTAAACAAGTGCCCAAATCCCACGATCTCTAAAGACAGCACAATGCAGCAACGCTCAGGAACAAGTGGGAGCAATGCACCAAATGCCTGAAAAATGAAATACTTTGAAGGCATTATACTGTGCAGAGGGGAAGTCCCCTTTTACAGAGCATCTCTTGCCAAATACTTCGAGAGAAATGAGGCTAAGGTACTCAGATACTGCAAGTCCAGCAAATTAAAAGGAAATTGGGTCCCAAATCTGCAGCAAGTTGACGCTCTAGCTCCCTTGGTCACCTGCTGATGCTCCAGCCACGCTCCTTGGGCACACACAGAAACCACCAGGCATTGTGCTATGTCCAGCAGTGGTCAGAAGATGTGGGCAGGAACTGCGCTGCATATTTCTGGGCTTTAAAAATAGATGCTGGAAACCACATTACTTTGTTCACGTCTGGGGCTCGGAAGCCACGATGACAGCTCTGTCCTGCCAGGCTGCAACCAGCTCTTGGCCTGATGGCGCAAGAGCCCTAAACACATCTCTTGTGAGAAATTGCTCCCTGTGATGCAGATTTCCTGGTCATCAGTGCTGGCTGCCTTCAGGAGGACGCAGAGACCCATGAATCAATAGACACCAATTTGAAGTAGCCTTTTGCATCCCGCAAGTAGAGCTGCTGGATGTCTTTTAAAGGCCAAAGTAAAGCAGGTGAGCCCATGACACAGACTGACCAGGGGAAGATCCACCTACCAAAATACCCCATGATTATACCACCAGAGTCATATCTACAGGCTGCTGTTGGAGGCTGGCCTTTTCTATAAAGGAGAAAGGAGATGGTGCTCTCAGGGCAGACACCTTCCATCAACAGCAGCTTCTGAGGCCATTGCTACTTTTGGAAACACCAGAAACAAGGCTGAGATTTCCTAAAGCCCCAGTGGGCTAACTCCTCAAGACAGGACTATCTCTGCGTTCACAGTTGTCTCCACAGGGAACCTTTTAGAGGCCTTTTTAGCAGAGAAACAGACAGGCCAACGTGCATCCTCCTGCATCAGGCAGGACCTCCCATGCTCAGCTCCACAGAAAAGAAATCATTGCAGCAGCAAAACCTACTGCCAAGCCCCCTTCACAAGTGGTGGCCATCTGTTCTCCACTCTCTGTCAAACCTAGCAATCATCCCACTGAACTCACAGTGCCAGGAAAATGCTGTTTGATTTCTGTACCAGCAGTTCCTCCTCCTCCCACCAACCCTGGAGCACGGGACAGAGCCTCGGTCCTCACCCTGCTGGAAGCCTGCCCACCTCCATGGACACATGACCATGTACTCCAGCTGAGGAGCAGAGCAGGATGCGATGGAGCTTTGATTTTAAGGCTCTGTGCAGGAAGAACCACCCTTTTAACCTTCATCCTGACAAACCCCTGGGACATGTTATGGGGTTTTCTGTTCTGAGGTTGCAGAGGGCAGCTATTGCTGTGCCCAGCATACGGAGACAAGCACCTAACGCATGCTTTCTGGATGGAGAGTCCACACAGCACGTGCTGTACATACCCCTTCCTTCTGCTACACATATCAGCACCACAAAACACAGACTATTTCCTTATTGGGGTGGGAGGGAAGGAGTATTTTTTTCCTAGGTAAGGACTAACACTTTGTATGTGTCTTCTGATACAGATGTCTCTCTAAAACCTGGAATTTGGAGAGAATTTAGAGGAGTGGAAGAAGAAAAATGAGGCAAAAAGCCTGCTAAAATTCACAGCTGTACAAACTGTTATTTATCTGTGCTCTCTGTTCTTTGTAGAAGTGAATCCCTCCTGGTATCTGGGCTAAGAGGACTGCAGTGTGCACCACTGTGCATCAATCCCACCTCCCAGACTCCTGCACCTCCATCCCCCTGTGCTGACTCCCACAAGGAGATGGCATTTGGCTCACTGAAGAGCCCTGTGAACTTGCAGGGCAGAGACTTGCTGCATTTCTCAAGTAAATGAGCTCAAGTAAATGATGGTGTCTTCATCACTCACTGCAGTGAATTCAATTACTGTGCCATAAAAAGGCATCTCAAAAGCAGCTTAAAACCTTACTGATGGAATTGGAAGTAGTGAGTGAAATATGGCTTTTGCAGAAATAGCCTGCTTTAAGGTTTGGAAGGGTACTTCTGGAGCTGATATATTATCACTTCAGAAAGCATTTCACCCTGTGCTGCTAGAGCATATATAAGGATAGCTACAGTGGTGAAGAAACTCTGCAAGGTGTGAGAGGTCCCATTGACCACAGCCACAAAAGTGTGGTCACCACATCCCATCAAAGGATTTTGGTGAAATGAAGTGGACAGAGCTGCAGTAAATAAAAGGGGTAAAGGGAGCTACGTAATTACTGGGGGATCCATATCACACCCCCTAGCATCAGTGGGTACTGTAGCTCCCTCCATCTGCTGAACCTTAACCTGCAGGTCTCACTGCTCACCAGGCAGGCACAGATGCCTCCATGCAGTTACAGAGGCAAGATCAGGGCTGCACACTCAGCTGCAGCTATGGCTGAGATCCCATCCATGTGTCTCACTGACTTCAGCATTTCCAAATAACTCAGAATTTTACTTGGAATAGGGAGGTTGTTGAAAACAGCAAAAGAGAGGAGAACCAGGTCCCACAGGGAGCAACTGAGTGGGTAGGGTCATGGCCTCGAAAGGAAAAAACCTGAAATAAAAGCACCAACTCTAAAAATAAATTGTCTGAAATTTGCCCCTGCGTTTCAGTTTGGTGGAGCAGTGCAAGCCTTGCTTTATCCACCCAAATAAGAACTTATATAAAGAGATGTTTCTGTTGCTGCTCAGACACCAGGAGCTACCGGGAGGCTGTGCAATCCTGTTACAGAGCATCACAGCATCACCCAGAGGGTCCTGTCTGGTGATCACATTGGGGTTGCATACGTAATCTGGGAGGACATCCTGTCTTCAGGGGTATTTGAAGTTAACCTAAATTCAGCTGCAGGTAGTTCAAAAAACAAAACAAAGCAAACAAACAAAAAACCCCATCACAAAACAATCAAACCGAAACAAGTTGCTCTGGAACTGGAACTATCCCAACTATTGCAGGATCGGCACAGCAAAAGCAGGCTGCAGTGATGTGTCCTCTTGTCTCTGGAAAATTTGGGATAGGGTCAGCTTATGGCCTCTATGTGTGCTTTAAGGAGATGTGTCAGTAATAATCTCTCTTTATGCAATTACTAAAAACAGCCTTTGTGATGAACTTCAAAGAGCAAGGACATTTTTAGAGAATTATGTTCTTTGCAGTGTTACAAATTGAAAATCTGAAAAACCTGAACTGGAAATGAGTATTTCATCCAGGTTTAATGTCTTGGCTCGTGCATTGCAGAACTCTTGCATTCCCCGGGAGATGAAGGTGCTGTGCCCGCGCAGATGGTGAGGGTGCAGCCTGCACCCAGGAACTCGCCTCACTGGGCTGTGACGACGCAGACCCTCTGGGCTAGCACAGAGCAATGCGCTAAAGACGACACATGCTTTCAGGGTCTCAAAGAGCTGGAACGACTTGTTTCCTGGCCAAAGGAAACATGAGGGCTTCTTTAAATATTTCAGGCACTAGAGCTACAAGCCTTAGAAGGCAACGTTTTTATCCTAAAATAACGCCCTCCAAAGTGCTACTTCCAGGAATAACTTCACAGGGCTGGCAATGACAATGATTTCCAAAGGTATGTAATAAAAATGGCAGTCCCTCCACACCATTAACTGCCCTCAGAGCTGCCAGAGGGGCCTTCACCACTAAAGCAAGGCTGTAACCATGTGTGCCTTCATCACTCCCTTAGATAAGAGGCAACCATTAATCTTCAGCTCCCTACCTTTGTCTTGTTTCTCCTGGTCACCTTGCTGTTTATGGATGGTCACTTTGTTCATATAAATATATTCCTCATCGCCACCTGCAACCAAAGGGAGAAATGAACTCTTTACACACCCAATGCTTTCACGTTGCTGAGTTTTTCCACAAAGACAGATGTAAAAAGTGTCTCTGCTAAGTACATTTATGGGAGAGCATGTTGGTTGAGACAACGTGCAGAAAAAAACCCCAAACAATAATAAAAAGCAGAAAAATTAAATGCTTTATAGCCAGGAAATTCCATAAGTTAAAATTTCTACTTAGACATTAACTTGGCCAAACAGTACATCCTGTGTATCTTACAAAGTGGATTAAATAAACTTTAGGTTTAATAAGGAAAACAGAAAGTATCAGGAATCTTGGGAATCCTTTGCTTGTAAAGTTGGACACATAACTACAGTAATTTTACATAAACAATTAGAGGTCACTGCAAAAACAATCTCTGTTTAATTTTCTCCTAATTTTCTTGTCTCCCCTTCCCACCAGTCTCCAAGAAAATGTTGCTTCGAGATCCTGTAGCAGTTCCGATAAAAGCCCTGTCCTTGTTTTGCCTTGCCCGTACCGCTGGACTTGGTGTAGACCCGCAGAAGGTCAGAGAGGAAGCTCTTCTTCACAACAGCAGTGCTGCTCAAGTTCTCCTTGTCCAGGATCCTCAGAAAGTCTTCAAGTTCGGTGAGCAGCTGCTCGAGAGCTACAACAACAGAGATAAGTGTTGGCAAAGACTTGGGTGAGATTTCAAAACAGGACATGCATTAATTCTGACTATTCCAAGATCAGCTACATTTTTCTGCCCAGGAATAATTAATATTTGGCTTTCCATCTTGAATTCTCCCTCTAGTTTTGAAAAGAAAGTGGGTCCCAAAACACAAAAGGCTTGAACTTCCCTTAGTCTGTTCACACATCAGTAAATATCTATTCCTCTTCCTATAGGACTTTGTGCTCAAGGGGTAAAAAGTCTGGAGGGATTTTGAGCATTACAGCTCACAATTGTGTGCATTACACACAAAAGCAGCTACCGAGGTCTTGACACTTGAATCTTCAGTCCTTGCAAACATCATTCAAATCTCATCTGGATTTCGATCTACCAAAGATTCTGCTTTCTGTTTCCTCTGTCCAAGCCTCCTCCTTATTTCTGTCTGTAATGCTTTGAAAACATTTGTCTCTTCCAAAAACCACACACACAAAATCACATTCATAATTCAGTAACATCTCAAGTCATCACGCTTGGGTGCTGACCACAGAGATCATTGTATCACAAGGAACTGAAGATCCAAGGTTGAGCAGCATCTCAGCCAGCCTCAGGAACACCTGGCCAACCAAAGACACCCCTGCGCACCCAAAATGAACTCCTCAGACACACTGCTCCCCAGCACTGATGGCTCAGCCAAGCTGATCGGTTTGTTTTCCTTCTGAGGAGGTGCTATTCAGCTCTGCCACCGACAGATTACTTGTCTGACAGGGCTCACACTGAAGCAAGAGGCGTTTCATTGCTTGCTTTGTTCGTGTAGAAGTTTATCATGAGCTAATTAGCAGCAGTGGCAGGAGCCTGCTCCAGGGAGGAAATAACAGAGTTTGATGCGGAGAGAGGAAGTACAGCGCAAGAATCACGGCATGCAGGAAAAACATGGAAAAACCAGCCAGGGCTGTTCCTCCTCTTCGGAGGCTCCTCTGCTACCCAGCTCCATCGCTCCCTGATGCTAAGGAGCATATGGATAATTTAACTGCAGCAATGCTCTGTTCCCTTTACTTACAGCACCTCCATGCTGTGCATGCCCATAGTACCCACATGAGTCACAGTACACATCAATGAACTAGAGAAGTGTTAATCTTTTGGTTTCACAGGGCAAAGCCTCTGAAGAATATCTAGTTTAAATGCTACCACCTCCAAGGTCGCAAAGAACATTTGTGTAACACCAGAAGAGAGCTATCATCTTCTTACTCCCCCATCTTTAGCCACCAGGCAACCCTTCCTAGGGTGAATAAATGTTAGAAGATTGATAAATAAAGCATGAATTACACTGTAAAGGTTTCTGTTGCTAGTCATTAATTGAAAGACATGCTGCTGCTCTCCAACTGTATTAATCTACACTGGCTTTACTGTAAAATAGTCTAATGACTCCAGATCAATCAATAATGTCTCCAGAGGAGATTACCAGCTGGTAGCTCTTCACACTTCATTTTATCCCCTCTACACCGAACTAATTCTCTTCTGGTCTGATTTAGGACCAGTAGGGAATGGGAAATGTCTGTCTCATGCTGTGTTAACTCCAATGTTTTTGCTAGCTGCTGTTTTGCCCAGCTATAAACCACTGAAGCCCAGAGAAAGCAAGAATCACTTCAAGAAACAACAGCTTTTTCATGAACTGTAAGGAAACAGGTAGCATTTGTTGACAACAATATTAGATGTCACTGATATCACCAAGCAGTGAATTGTGAGCAGTTGGCGTCAAACACACTCATAACCAGGTTCTCTCAAGCTTCAAGAACCCTGCTTCTTCTAAGTTTAAGGAAACTCCCCTGGGGTAAATCACAGCCTTGCTGTACTTGCTCATCTGCTTCAGTAGCCCACTTCAGAATATTTAAATTGAGGTCTCTTCCTGCTGCTCAGGCCTGGTGGACAGGACGTTTAAGTATCAGGGATGATATCAGAAGAAACAGCACAAAAATATACCTAACCTTCATTTGAAGCTTCAGAAGCTCCCAACAGCTGCCCGCGTGGATGTCACAGTACCACGTTTGCAGGGAAGGGGGTATCGTTCCCATTCTCTCCTCCACCCCCACGACTGCACAAAATGACTTCATTCTTCTCCCAGGCATCCACAGCTAGCACACACACAGGGCTGAGTGCTTATGAATAGCGCAGCCCATACAGTAGGTGACATTTTCCAGCCCACCAAAGCAGAATTCAGACTTCTAGTGACTCAAAGCAACTCATTTAGGATGTGATCCTGGGGACACAGAGGTCAGTGGAAAGACTCTGTCAGACTTCAATGGGTTCAGACTCAAGAGAGATTCATTTTGCTCTTCTTCAGCCAGAAGCAGCATATAAAACATCTGCTGCTATGCAAGTATCTCTTTGATCTCAGCTGGACATTACCAACCCAAACCTGATACCTGCAAAAATAAACTGCCATTAAAATTAGTGTGACCATTCATTCTCTCATATCAGAAGGAGAACAAGCTAATACTTATTAGAGCAATGAATATGAGAAGTGAGAAGAATACATATGATTTGGGTCTGTAAGATCCTCTGTGCAAGCAAGAATCACAGCAGGTCCCAGCAGGTGAACTGGACTAAAACCAGTTGAGAGCCCAAACAACTCAGGATTTTGAACGCTAGAAACCACTGCTTGAACTCAGCTAAAGATCTATCATGCTGTGGTGATGATGTATTGAAGATGCTCCTGGCAAAATCAGGTTGGTGGTTATCCAAAGTAGCCTGAAACAAATGGCTTTCCCTCCAATCTTCACTGTTTTGCTCTCATTATCTTAGCAGTTTAGAAATCAGAGCACATAAAGAGACAACTCCTGTAGCTAGGCTTGCTCTGCAGGGCAATAGTTAGAGATGCAAGGACCGTGGTTGCAAAATCAAACGGCTGTAAGCAGCAGGATGAGAGGTCAGTAGTGGACAAAGGCTTGAGTCACAAGGCAGTGCAATTCTCAGAGATACTTTTGAGAAACCTCCTTCCACAGCTACATTGCTCTTCTCAACTGTCATAGCATTTCTTCGTGAACCCCCAAGTACAATGTGACTGAAGTAATCTTTCTGGCACAAGAGACAATTCCTGTAGCTAGGCTTGCTCTGCCTAGGTAATAGTTAGAGATGCAAGGACCGTGGTTGCAAAATCAAACGGCTGTAAGCAGCAGGATGAGAGGTCAGTAGTGGACAAAGGCTTGAGTCACAAGGCAGTGCAATTCTCAGAGATACTTTTGAGAAACCTCCTTCCACAGCTACATTGCTCTTCTCAACTGTCATAGCATTTCTTCGTGAACCCCCAAGTACAATGTGACTGAAGTAATCTTTCTGGCACCATCTCAAACAAATACCTCCACAGCACTTTCAAAAATTCATCCTACTTCATGGAAAACAGGAGATAACCTCTAAAGTTGAGATTGCCCCAGAAGTATTAAGAGACTTAGCCGAGGCCACTATGAATACCTCTACTGAATCCAGTCTTCAAGCCCCAGGATAGCATGCCTACAGATATGGGGGTACCATTAGATGTCACAGCACAGCTGGTATCGTGCTGCTCTTCTCCATGGCCACAGGCATCAATCACAGGATAAAACCCATAAGGATTCTGCAACATGTAATAGAGAGAGGTGTAGGAACATCACAGTCAATGGTCAAAACTTGACTCATTTGCATCTGCAGTGAGTGAATGATTATCAAAGAAAGGACTGAACTTTAAAGTGTGCAGAAATACCACGTTTTCACTGGTGTAATGAGGACTTATAGGGTGGGAGCAACAACCAGAACTACCAGCTCCTCTTGTGTGCAATCAAGTGGAGGATGAGAGATACTCTTCCTCCTTTCACTCTGAGACAACACAACCCTTTCTACAGAAGCTCCTGGGCAACCCTCTGACCACAGCAGGCTCTCTCTGAAGGTTGCAACTTTGGGTACAGCAATAAGCAAAGAATTTCTTGAAACACGACTGATCTGTTTCCACAGCAATTCAGTGGCAGTAGGACAGCACTGAAAAGGGCTTCTTTTGGCGGGAGTTTGTGGCCTTTCTTTGCAGACAGAAAGCCTCTTGCATTGCAGCAGTGTCTATCCTAGCTCATGCAAAGCCAGAGCCAAAAATGCAGCAGCTTGCAAAGCACCCATTGAGGAAGCACATTCCTCGCAAAAGAGCTGCCAATTTTGCCTGACACTGAGGTCACTGAAAGGTAAATGACCATTAAACTAGATTATAAAAAGCCATTCCTACCAATAAGCACTGATCTTCATCATTGTGCTACAATAACAACCTATGTCTACATGTAATTACTTCATGCCTTGGCCTTATGAGGAAATGGAAGGAGGCTCAGAATGAACTTTCATTCAAGTGTTTTAGTAACCACTGGGCAGGATTATATTAGACCATTTAATCTAAATTCAATTATTTATCAAGGTAGAGGGGCCCCAGCCACCAGACAAAGAACTGTAATAAGATATGTACTAAAAGACAAACTCTTTCCTCTCTGAGATGAGAGGTGAAAGATAAGGAGTACCATTTGCTAACAGGAAACTAAGGCATAGTGAGATTAAGTGATTTGTCCAAGGATACAGGCGTATTCTCCCGCAGATCAGGAATACAACCCAGTTTTTCTGTGTCCCAGCCTGCAGCTCTCACTCCCAAGCCACCCTTCGTTGGATCCCAAAGTGCTGGGAGATTTCCCACCATCCTGTTGAAAGCAGGAGCTGGGTTTAGTACTTTGGCTTCACTCCTGCTACAAGAAGCTGGGCTAAGCTGTTGGGAAACAACGCGGCTTCAGGCACCCAGTAAATACCTGCAGGCTGTGGCATGCCAAGCTTTTAGCTTCAAAACCCTTGGAAAGTCCAGAGATACTGAAACTGATAACACCATGATTCATGCAAGTGTCATAGGCCACAGGAGGGGAGAAGCTCCTGAGGGGCCCCTGGAGGGTGCCTGCACATCCTCAGTCTCCCTGGAGAGCCTTTTCCATGCAAGACATCCCATGGCAGCCTTTCGGCCACCGTTTCCCACTGATCAGCCCTGTCTGGCAGCACTGGGATTCCTCAGGGACTGCTCTGGCAGAAAGCGATTCCTTTCTTGCCCTAGTTTCTTTTTTTCCTTGGCTGTGTAAAATCAATAGGACAGCTGACGAGCACGCAGAGAGGACAGCGGGCACAGAGACTGCATTCAGGCTGCTGAATAGTGAGCGCTGTCAGCGGAGCAGGAGGACCCAGCCCAGGCCTCCTTGGCTAATTTGGAGTCTTACAGTAACAGTCGGCCTTTACAAGAGGGAAAAGTCACTCCCAATGACAGCTAGAGAAGGCCATTCTCCCCAGCTGTGAGGGAAGGCAGATGTGTGGATGGTGACAGCTGTAACAGCTGGATGACCCCCAACACAGGGCCGCCTTCCAAAACACAGCAAAGCAGATCCTTCCTCAGGCAAACCGACCCTCCTCATCCTGCGGCTTTTGGGGACCTGCAGTGAAGCAAAGGGTACAGCAAATCTTCTGCAGCAGTCACAGCTCCTCTGCCCCGCTCTGGATGCTGCTGGCTTTGGCACACAGAGGCAACATAAGGCAAGGAAGGACACATGGAAAACAGCTCCCCCAAATACAGCACCATGAAGGAGCAACATCTCTGTTGAATCCCAGAAGGCTGCTCCTCCAAAAAGTGTCTCCATCACACCAAAAACCTATCAGCATTCACTCAGGGTGATGAGCATTAAAAACACGGACAAGCGTGGACTCAAGTTAACCAGCTTGGTTTTGATTTTCAGAAACCAGGATTTACTCCCCACCCTTGCACCTGCAGTGACTGGGCAGCCTTCATTCTTCTGGCTTTTCATTGGAAGAGAATAAAAAGCCCAACCCAGTGTTGGCCAGCTGAAACTCCTTCATTTTTTGAAGAGTATTTAATAAATATTTGTAGAAAAAAGAAACCTCCCCACAGCAAAATGAGAAGTGCTGTTTTTATTGGAAAGAAAAAAAATAAGACAAAACACTAAGCTTCCAGTAAACACTGAAATTTCTCATTAGAAAACCACCACTAGATCAAACAAAATAAAAGGCAAAATTAACAAAACTGAGGTAAGCTAAAATTCCTCAGAATAGGAAAATTGTAAAATTGGATAACTTGTCCCATAGTTTCCCTGTTAAACCAGACAAGTGTCAGACAGTTATGACCGCTGTCACAAAAGCTGTCTGATTTTCAGACATAATGAGTTCTCACAAGGAAGAAAGAAACTAAAAAAAAACCACCCAGACTGCCTCTGTTGATGTACCTAAAATCCAGCACCGTCTGGCTTCACCCTCACGTTGGGAGCATTAGGCTCCTCTTTGTTGCAGAGCATGAAT